ACAGGCCTGCCTGGAGTGCACTACATTGGTTACCCCAGAAATTGTCACCCCAGTCCAAAAAGCTCTGCCCCCTCAAGACATTTTGCTGCCTGATGCAGAGCCCAAATGATTCCCCCTCACCCCTGCTATGGCCAACACTTTAATAAGCCTTCCCGTGCCATTCAAACCCCTGTTACTGCAATCATGTCCCACTGCCACCACGCACGCACACAAACACACACCATGTTGCCACCTGAAGCAAGTTGCACTGACATGGCCAGCCCTGCTGACAAGAGGAAATGTTAATGCAAACAGGTGCTGTGTGCGGACAAGCCCAATTCTGCAGCTGAACCAAGGCTCCGTCACGGATTTATTTCACCCAGGAAACCACATGCATAGTATTTACATTTGCACCTAATGAGTATGGCAACTGAAGAAACAGTTTCACGGGCCATCCTTAAGATTTGCAGTACTGGGAAATTATAAGTTGCCCTGGGTGCAGAGGTGAAAAGGAAAGTTATTTGTGCTGGAACTAAATAACCAAATTCCAGGCAAATGCTTGCAGCTGTAAGGGCAAGCAGCCACTGCTGGGATAAGAAGAGGCAATTCACCATGCCTCCAAAACCATCCTCACACTGAAGGTGAGTTGTCTCAAAGGCAGCCTGTGCCTGCCCTGGTCCTAAAACCCTGAGCTGCAGGTCTCAGGAGCCACCCATCACCTGCAAGGTGCTTAAGGAGGTCACCAAGCTGGCCTGTTTCCATCCATGGACCTACCTGCCAAAGGGACCAGTCATACCAATTGACCTGTTTAAGAAGCCATCGTCCCATTCCATGCAGTTTGGAGCAGACAATAAGGCCGTGCTGTCTAGCCAAACAGCCAGCTGGCCCAAAATTCTGACTTGGTCCAAAGCTGCCTTAAGGATCATTTGATTGAACGGCAGGCTGTAACTCTTCTCACTCAATAAATTATAAGGATGAGATTTACCAACACATCAAACAACGTGGTGTGATGAACAAGAGGCTTTGTCTGTGCTGCTGACGCAGCTGACATGGGAGGCCAATATGTCAGTACTGATGTTAAATCTGACGTGCCAGCATGATTATGTTATTGGTGGTCAAATTGATTCTGTATTTAAATATTTTTGTCATTCTTCAGAATCAATGCATATGCTTACCCAGGGATATAATACCCTGAAGGATCTCTTGTTCCTCAAAAACGTTATAGATCCTGCTGATATTTTATGCTAGGCATAATTTGGGTAGTGGCTCATTACTGAGATGTTTAAATTCGAAACTCATGTGAGATACGGGTTTTTCTCCTCAACTGAAGTTCCTGAGGCTTTTTGAGGCCAAAACCCAAAAGATTTTGATAAAACTAGTGAATGCTTGGAGGACATCTCTCCTTGTCCCCCTTGGGGAGCAAATTTTGCGGCATAGGGTGGTATATAAATTCAATAAATCATCATCATCATCATCCAAGGAATTTTGAGGGAATCTCAAGTGACTTCGATATAATGGAACATGTCAGTTACACTCACAAAACACACACAAGATAAGGTCCTTCATATCAATTAAGCACAAGCCAAATGAATTCCAGAATAGTACTTAGGAAGGAGTATTTTAAGGGGAAATAAATTTAAGCTGCAATCATAACTCAATTTACCAGGGATAGGTAAGGCACGTTTAATTCATCAGGACTTAGTTCTGCGTAGACATTTTTAAAAGTATTAAATGCACCTATTAATGCATTGATTTCTTTAAAAATTGAAGATTAATATGGAAATGAAGTGGGCTTGTGAGTGAACATGTGAGGTGATGTGGACTGTAAATAAAATGATTTGCAGATCCCTTCTAGAATCAGGTTTTTTCCCATCCACTACATAGTATACATACAGCAAGGCCATACTATTCATAATGACTGATCTGTGAAATGTTTCTGGAAAGAAGAAGGGAAGATCAAATTGGGAGGAATATCTATCCCAAAAGTAAACATTGTGCTTAATGTGTATTTGTAGCAGGTCTTCTGTACATTTTGTTTAGACAAAATATACAACAGAGAACAATTAACTTAAAAGGATCGTGCTTTTGTGGAAAGGACGATTATCAGAGGAGAATGCAGCTAAGGAAATGTTTTGCAGATGTACTGCATTTAAATTAATAAAATCTCATTAGGTTTTATGTTTGCCAATAATGGCTGGAAAAGTTACCATACATTGTAGGAACAATTACCCAAATCTTCACTGTCTCATTAGGTTTGTCATACTGTTTTCATTATAATACATTAGAACTTGCAAGTGAGCCTTCAGTAATGACATATTGTTCCAATTCGCCTTTCAGCAGGCTCTAAGATATTTTAGTATTTGTGTTATAAGCCAGCAGGTGTCTTCACTTTGCTCCCCCCCCAACCAGTTTTATACACAGACTTCCAGACTTAGAAAGGAATGTAAAAGGGCTTTCAACAGTCACATAAAAATGAGTCTGATTAGAGTAAAGCAATACACACTATTTTTATGTTCTGGTGGTAATTCAAAGCACTAAAAATGTGCACCTTGGTTGTACATCTCTATTTCTGTGTTTTCTTACAGAAAGCACTATTTAATGGGCATGAACCATGTGGTACAAAAAGTTTTCAGATTTGCATAACAAGTAAAAATTCTGATTTGAATATCTGAGGAGCTGTGGACTTCAGTGAGAATGATCATCACTCTTTGAGCTACTAAAGTTAAACATTCAAATGAATCATATTCAAAAGTGCTTGGATGGTTCCAATGATCCATAGGTAGTGCTGTACTGAATTCAAATAACAAGGTGAGTTTACTAAATGTGGGTGATCTTGCATGCCCAATCTTGGAATTTTCTACTTGAAATCCATCAATTAAATGTGCTTTGAATCAGGATGCACTTTTAAAAAAACAAAAAAACCTTTCTAATCATTTGGAAAATAAATCCAAAAATTTCAAAAGCACTGTTCCTACATGGCAAAAACAGAGACTTTGCAAATCATTTTGAATAATTGCTTCCATCACTGCATATATATTTTTTATAATGTTCCAAAGCCAACCAGGGCTTCCCCAAGCATAGAGGCAGTAGGTAGAAAACAGTTGCCTAAGGTAGCAGACTAACTGGCTGTTCAGGCTAATCTGGAAAATCCTATAGGGTGGGAACGATCAACTGGAAGTCTGAGAGCTAGATTTAGCCTAAAGGTATTACATATCTGGCAAGCCTTCCAAATTTTAATCAAGGGTATGGTAAAATGTTTGCATGCAAGGGAAAACAATATTTTCAAGTTGCATGCAATAGGAATCATTCACATATTTTGATTAAACCTTTGTGGGATTTCAAATGTCATGCCAACTATGCACTCTGTGTGTGTGTTTTCTGTAGATGTGAAGCTCTTGCTGCAGGGTGGTGCAAACTTTGTTATACAGGTGGGTAGAAAGATTGATTTCCAAGCCATGTCACCTTTTGCATGCATTCCATTCCATTTCAACATATGGGGGATGGGGGAGGGAGAGAGAAAGAGAAAGAGAACATAGCAGCACTGGGTTATTTGAGAATTATGAAAGCCAGGGAACAACTGCATTACAGCTTCCACATTCATCCAGGAGATACAAATCAGATCAGTTCATATTGGAATCGGCAAAAACTGAATTTCTGTCTCATGGATCACTGTCCAGAGAATAGTGTAGACCCTGAAAATAAGAAGTTGTCATCTTCGCTCTGGGAAAATATATATTACCTATTGCACGCCACTGGGATAACAGTACCTGAGGTGTGAGGTCAATTGCCTGACCCTTTCCTTTCTCTTTACGGAACACCTTCAAGAAGAAACAGTCTTCAATTCACAAATGCAAAGGCGCAAAAGGTACAGGAGCCCCACTTCCACCCAGTTCAGGAGGAGTTTGTACTGACCCTGAAATCAGCATTTCAAGCTTTTCTCCTTTAGAGCCAGCTTGTCTGTTACACATTGGTTCACCCACTCCTCCTCCTGTGTGGTGGTCATCTTTTCTTGTGCTTATTACTCCCACAATACTCCAGGGCTTCCTAGCTGCTTTTATGTTACAGGATTCCTTAATTTATTTCTTGGTGCTCTGATTTCCCCCCTCCCCATCTTAATTTGTGCATGGACTTTAATTAATATCTTCCATCACGGTTCACAGATTTGGCAAGCTTTTATTAAGTGGGGGGAATGCAAATTTGCTCACCTAGCAAAATTTCATACAATTTCTCTCCTAGAAAAAAGATCCATTACTACATCCCGCTATAAACTAGAGTTCACAATATGGAATTCTTTTTTAAAACATTGTAATATGGAATAATGCAAGTTAAAATGGCTAGCGACCTGTTTTAGGCTTGTAGTTTGGATATTTTTCCTCCCAAACAAGACTAAATGTGCAAGGTAATCTGGTTCTGCAAATGTTTTGACATTAGGGTACTCATGTATCATGTCCTACTTCATAGAGAACAGTCTTCTGTTTCAAGGCCTGTTTGAAAGAATATTCCATTTGAAGGGCTCTCTATTCCAAGTCCAAATAAAGAACCACGAGAAGAGCTTTAGAACAATTCAAGTTACTATTTAATTTGAACCCATGCTACTGAATCATTTGCAGGTTATGGTTTTGTCAACTGACATCCATTTCTGCAACCTATTAAACATATTTCTGTTAATCACACTTTTCAGAAGCCTGTGTGTGTGTGTGTGTGTGTGTGTGTGTGTGTTTGACAGAGAGAGGAGGGAAAGAGAAAGTAAAAAAGGTGGGGGAAGGACTACAAAAGACTACAAAAACATTAAATAAATGAAATTGCTTGTAGCTGATAGTGAGTTACAAGTTCTGGAGACTATAGGACAGAACTGTGATATAACTCATGGTAGCCTCTGGAGCTAGTAAGTTATGGGATGTTCAAATATACGAGAAAGCCTGTAAGTTACTGGAGTCTATATCATTACTTCATTATAGCTAGGGACATATGAAACGGCTGAAATTCAGTTCACACTCTTCAACATCAATCATACAACTTACCAAATGAGAGCAAATCGGATTTTGTACCAGTCTGGGTGTTGGTGCCACTTTATCTATAGGAAAGAGAAAAGCTGAATTTTGTTTTCTTTGTTCTCGTGAATATGATGGGTTTAAGTTTGAAATAATGGGCAATACTTCCAGCAGATGTAGAAATGTCTGGTTTTAAATATGACTGTGTTTAACTGGTATATATTAATCTTGAAGGGAATCATCTGCCCCATCTCCTTCTGCACAATAAAATACAACTCTTCTTTTTATTTATAAGCCAGAGAAATCTTAAATCCAATTTTGAGTTGAGTTTACATCAACTCAACATCACCAGGCCAAGGATGGGCTGTGCAACTGCTGAAAATCTGAAGAGGACGAAGGGGTCCATGTGGATGCCTGCTCCTGCCCTGATGGCTGCATAAATCTGAATGACCGACAGCCTCCTCCCTCATCCAGCCACATGTTGCACTGCCTCAGCACTGACCATGGGAGCAACAGTGTATATCCATTGTGGCTTTGCCCTTCAAAATACAGTGGTACCTCTGGTTACGAACTTAATTCGTTCTGGAGGTCTGTTCTTAACCTGAAACCATTCTTAACCTGAAGCACCACTTTAGCTAATGGGGCCTCCTGCTGCTGTCGCGCCGCTGGAGCACAATTTCTGTTCTTATCCTGAAGCAAAGTTCTTAACCTGAAGCACTATTTCTGGGTTAGCAGAGTGTGTAACCTGAAGCGTATGTAACCTGAAGCATATGTAACCTGAAGCATATGTAACCCGAGGTACCACTGTACAGTGGTACCTCTGGTTACGAACTTAATTCATTCTGGAGGTCCGTTCTTAACCTGAAACCGTTCTTAACCTGAGGTATAGTACCACTTTAGCTAATGGGGCCTCCCGCTGGAGGTCCGTTCTTAACCTGAAACCGTTCTTAACCTGAGATATAGTACCACTTTAGCTAATGGGGCCTCCCGCTGGCCCCACGGGGCTGCCGTGCGATTTCTGTTCTAATCCTGAGTTAAAGTTCTTAACCCAAGGTACTACTTCCGAGTTAGCGGAGTCTGTAACCCGAAGTGCTTGTAACCCGAGGTACCACTGTACAAAAAATGAATCTGGGCCCTGCTCACTGTGTACCCAATGTGTATATGATATATACACATTGTATTCATTGGAATTAGTTCCTGAGCACAAAACACGTTTTATGAAACAGCATTGTTTTAACCCACGTTTGCAAAAAATAAAATAAAATAATGATATATTTTTTTAAGATGGCCTCTTATGATTACTCAGCACTGAACCCAAACTAAGTTTCCCAATTCTGTATTTGTTCCAGGGAGAAGCTGCCATCATTTACTGTTTTCCCCATTTCCACCTCATGGGACAGAAATGTTTAGTGGAGCAAAGTTGACCAGTATATCGAATTTAAGCAGGGGCTGTGGGCAGCTCTACCTAAATGCCACCCCGGAGCACCTGTTCTCTATCTCAAGAGTCCCTTCAGGGGACTTCTTTGCATTTGTTGACCATGCAAAGGCAGAAGCCAAAGTACCTAGTATTTATGCAGGCCTGGCCTGTCAAGAGACTTCTACTGCTTCCCAATGATGCCCACTGCTCTTCCCTTCAGGGTCTGAAGAAGACTCTGGGGCCTCAGCACACTCACACTGTGGTAGCTCATGATGGCAGGCCCCGCCTCTTCATGTAACACAGTCCAACATTTCTGATTCAACAATGCTCAATGCTTAGCCTTTATATACTTGCTCACATTAGAGATAAAACAAGAATTCAAAGCAGGGATATTTGTTGCACAAGCAGTTGTGGTTGTGATTGTTCTGTCACTTTAATAGCATATATTCAACAGAAGGGGGAAAGGCACAAGGGGAGGGAATGGATTGTATATCATTGTTTTATGTATACCACTTAGCAATTTTTTAAAATAATTAAGAGCATAATGCATTACAAATTGTGCAATGTTATGTCTATGTATGAATCAGGACCAGGGCAATCTAACCTAGTGTTCAACAAGTGTTTATTACATTGCGTTTTACCGATTTTGTATTTTAGGTGTATTTTTAACATTTAACACAACATTTTTGTGTTTCTCTATTCAATCTGTGGCTGCCTTTAGTGGTGTGGTGTTTTATCTGTATACCGCTGTTTTTAGGGTGGGTGGTGGTGGTGGTGTGTGTTTGGTTGTTTGTTATACTTGGTTTTAGTGTTTTGGTGTTTTTGCAAGCTGCTTTGAATCACTTTTGTGAGGAAAGCAACAGAATAATAAAAAATGTGTACCTGGGTGCACAAATAACATACATGTTATGTTTGCATGTACAGTCTGTGTACCCGATAGAAATAAATGGTACATGTAAACAAGTACATCCTCTGCACATGCACAGAGACAGTTTGTACCTGTGGTCAGCATAATGTGTGAACAAACCTGTAGGATTTGGAGACTCAAATTCAAATCTCCACTTATCCATGAAGCTCACTGGGTGACCTTGGGCCAATCTCTCTCTGTCAACATAACCCACTCACAGGATTGTTGTTAGGATAAAATAATGGGAGTGACCCTCACAACCCTCCCGGATCTCCTTGGAGAAAAGGCAGGGGGGGAAAATACAACTAATAAAATCACAATTGATAAATTTTACCATTGTGATATTACCTATCCAAGCTCATTTGCAGTGGGCTAATTCTCTTTCTCATGAGCCCCACACATCAAGAATGAATTGATGGGGAAAATATATTTGTTTATGAAACACCCAAATATTTTATTGGTCTCCATGAGCATTCATGATTGTGTGGCTTTCATATTGCTCAGTTCATGTTGTGTTTTAACTACATTTATTACATTATATTTTACTAATTTTGTGCTTTATGTGTATTTTCAACCTCCCTGTTTGTTTTTCTGTCCTCTTGTTAATTTCTCGCTTTTCTAGAGGTGAACATCATATGATTTACTTTGCTTACTTCGCAGTTAATCAACTGCTGGAAACACACAGCACAATTTGTTTCCACCAGATTGTACTTGTGAAGTATGTTTGGAATGTTTTCTTAATTTACAGCATATTTTTTCTTTATCTTCTTTCCTGGGTGGCGGTCTGGCATGTTCAAGTTGCTCTCTCTGCACATATAAATCCTTTCTCAAATGCCTTTTTTCTAATATATATTGCTTTTGGTATGTCGCTTTACAGGAAAACTCCTGGAAGTCTTTTAATTCTAGTAATACCAAATCATTCTACTCGGTTTGCTGCCTCTGAAACGTTTAATCAACACAGGTTGGTTTTTTTCTTCTTCCTCTGATGTAGTAGTCAGACTTCATTAAAAAATTATGAGCCATACAATTCGTAACAGACTTCACTTGAGTTTAAGAAACCCTAAATCTAAACCATAGTCTCCCAAAGATGTTGCAGAATGTGTTCAAAAGGGTAATGGACATTCCCAGCTTCACTTGCAGATATAAGGGATTGAACCTGGGAGGTTTCCAGAGGTTAGACGACAAAAAAAATTAGGCCACATAAAAGAAAATTTTGGCTATCCCTGTCCAGACAAAGGTTCTGCTGGGCCACCGGTCTAGGGATCCACCCACTAACAGTCTTATCTGAATTGAGCTTCAGTTTATTGTCTCTCATCCAGTCCATTACTGAGGCAAGAAAATGGCCCATCACATCCACTGCCTCACCTGCAGATGTAAAGGAGAGGCAGAGGGCTGTGTCGTCAGCATATTGTTGACAACACACTCCAAAACTCCAGATGATCCCACTCAGTGCTTTCATTCAGATGTTAAACAGCATAGGGGATAAAACTGAACCCTGAGGAACCCCACATGGAAGGCTCCACAAGGCCAAAAAGTACTCCTCAGACATCACCCTCTAGAAACGACCATCCAAGCAGGACCAGAACCACTGCAATGTGGTGCCACCCCTAACTTGGACATCCGCTCCAGAAGGCTACCATGGTTCATGGTATTGAAACTCACTAAGAACTCAAGGAGAATTAAGAAGGAAATATTTCCCCTGTCTCTCTCCTGACAGAGGTCATCATACAGGGTGACCAAAGCAGTTTCTGTGCCAAAACTGGGTCCAAACCCTGATTGAAGTTCATCTAGAAAATCATTTTCCTCCAAGGGACCCTGGAACTGGTCTGCAACCAACCACTCCAGAGCCTTACCCAAGAAGGGGAGAATGGCAACTGGTAATTACTTAGGTGAAAGTCTTTCCCACCACTCCACCTGCTACTGTTGGGATGGTTTTAAAGAGTTTAGGATAGGATTCAGGGAGGGGGCACAAAGTTTGCAGAAAAATCTTAAGGGAGGATCCCAAAACAGCCTGATGAGGACTGAGCATGCTCATTTGTCACAGAATTCTAGATTTCACTTGAAGGGGGAGGATACAATATCCTACAAAATGGAATGGCCAGCTGAAACCCCACAATGTCCCCCCCATAAAGCCTGAGAACAATTGGCATGTGTTCTGAGCTCATCACACTCTGAGTTTCCCTGTAGTTGCTCCATGCAGTTGGATGTTGATGGTACAAAGTGGAGACTCAGTAAGTGAGTTTCACTGGACAGGACGAGGAAAAAAAGTCTCCCATCATCTTTAGGCCTTCCATAAAACACATGATTTTGATGCAGCACAAATCTCAAGTTCTAACCTTCTAAAAAGTCGTGCATACTGTGTGATGCAGGTTCTCAAGCTCTTTAGGCCTAAGATACCTGACTGATATATTGCTTTGGAAATGCCTGGCCTCTCATCAGGGCACAATGTTCTGTTCAAAATCAGCAGCTCAGTGGAAATTGCCCAGTACATCGTATCAAAACAGAGCAGATAATTTCAAGCTCAGCAAACAGTGGATCGCACCTACTGAACCATGAACGTTAAAAACAAATGTAAACAGAAATTGAGGGAGGCGATGAAAACGATTTCGATATTATTTAAGTTGCCTTCGCCTAATGGAAGCTCAAGTCTGGGTCCCAATATGGCCCAATTATATTAAAGGCTGGCTCCCCCCGCCCCCCATTTCCAAACTGCTGTTTTCCATCATGCCACTGTGGCCTTCCTAGTTCCCGTTGTGCAGGCCAACATCAGCTACTATTAAGGACTTTTCATGCGTGTAAAATAATATGATTTCACAATGATTACATATTCACTCTACAGCTGGCTGAGTTTTTACATCTCCATTTGTCATTGACTATTGTGTCCAATTAAATGATTAGCTTTTAAAAACTGCGGCACATTATGAGAGTGAACTTGTGTTCCATTGCACTGAGTGATGCAGAAACAAACTCATTACAGCATGTAATTCACCCATATTAAATAACAAACAGATGGCTGCTGTAAATGAGAGCTGTTTTTTCTCTTCAAAAGTGCCAGGGAAAAGGTGTTTTTATTTATCTTTGTTCCCAGCTTCTTTCTGTTTTCTTGACAAGTGGGCAGCTGGCTGCTGAGGTTTTCAATTGGTGCAGAAGAATGAAAAGCCGGCTTCCATTAATTTCCCCATAAAATAACTCTTTGAATCATTCCCGTTATAAATGCATGTGCAGTAGCAAGCTGCTGCTTGATTAATTCACTTATTATGAAGATTTCATCTTTTATAAGAGGGCCTGCAGGTAATTTATCTTGTTTAGTAAGATTAGAAAAATGTAATTATCTTGATACCTTTGGACCCCTCTCATTTTAATTGTGTTCCCATAAATTTCAAACATAAAGATGGAATTTCATTTCTTTCTCCCTTTTTTTGGAGCACAAATGTTCCAACATGTGGTCGAAAAATGCATTCCAAGATGTGCAATAAAAAGTTACAAATTCAAATACATTTGATTTGAACCATTAGAATAATCTGCAGGAACAGCACCCACCAATCATATCCTTGTGGTTCCCATGTCACAGGTGGCGTTGACTGCAGGGAACAGAGATTCTAAAGATATACAATTTTTATCAGTCATGCCTGTCTCTGGAGGAAAGTGAAATCGGCTTTATTTTCACAACTCAAATTAATGTTGCAGGTTGTCTTCTGCTTGGCCATCAGTGCATACTCCCAGCTGTTGGTGTGCATCTGCTAAGCTAGTTCTGAAGGCTTCCTCCTCCTCCTTCTTCAATATAATGTTTATGATGGATCCATTCCTTGATTCTAGCTAAGACTTCAAAATACCCTGGCTGCAGGCTAGTCATGCCTGTCTTCTGCTAGAATAGGAAGGGAAAACACACCCTAGGAAGGATCACTTGCTGCCAGACAGAAGTGGAGGTGTTGAAATTATACAGGTTTTGTTGGCCATTGAGAGCTTGACATTCGTCATATAGAGAGCTCATATGAGCCTTTTGCCCCCAAATCAGATGGTGTCCCCCACCCCACCCCATCTTACTTGAGATAACCTATTTGTAAGCAGAATATCTTTCTCCCGTTTTTTTCTGTTCTCACACTGTAGCTGAATGGCATGCACAAATTTAAATTTAGACCAGGGGCTGTGCTACTAGAAAATGAGATTGATTTCTGAATAAGCATACCTCAAGGTTATGTTGTACTTTGCCCCTGTATTGAAAACAGACTGCTGTTCCACCTAAACATTAGGAAGAACTTCCTGACAGTAAGAGCTGTTCGACAGTGGGAATTTGCTGCCAAGGAGTGTG